GTGGGTTGTTGGTTTCATTTCATTCATTGAGGGTGGATCCTTTCTGTTCTATGGGGGGTTGTTCTTTCTTTATCTCATTGAAGACTAAAATGGAAGATTTCTAAAAAGGAGCAGGGGTCTTTGGGGAAATTGCTAAATTTTGCCTTCTGGATCTGTTGTTGTCCTTGGCTTTGGAAGTTCGTATTCTGGAGTTCTAAGCTCTTGATTTAAGATCAACCAGCCTTTTGAGTTTAGTTGCAGTAAGTTATGTAGTAAAGAAGGTGAATTTTTCTGACTTCCTTTAACTTTTCATATTTGCTTATTGCTTATTGGCTGATATGTAGCTTTATTAATAAGCAGCTAGAATAGTTGGAATCTTGTACCGAGTTGGAAGATAGGCTAACATGGCAAATCTTTTAAATAAGAAGCTGAATTGAAAGTAAAATCTTAGATAAGTCTTAGATTTTACATAATGATAGGAGAATTAGCATTTGTAAAAGTTGGTCTCTGTGTATACATCATGAAATTTTGAAAGTTCTGTTCTCAATATCTGTAAAAATAATGATTTTTTTTTTTTTTTTGCTTTGAGTGCAGTGCTTAGTGATTGGGTTAGGCTGCAGCAATAGCTACCCACACTAGTTACAAGAATACTCACAGATTACCATTTAATTATTCTTTGTTAGCGGAGTCTGCTGGAGAGAAAGATCACACATGATAGATAATGAGACAGGAGAAAAATGAAGAAGATGTGGGAATGAGTTGAGAGCTGTGGGCTTCTTTCACTATGTGCTGATGAATTGCTAAATGAGAAGCTTATTCCTCTGCTGTCTTTACCATGCTGTTGATATAAATACAGTTAAGTTCCCAGACTTCTTAACAAGCAATATACCAGTCAGAAGTGCATCCTAGAAATTGGCATGCCACAACCTGCTGTTCTGTGCCCGTTCTGGAAAAGAGGTGTTTGAAGGGCAAGGGAGACCCCATGGAGATCTTGTTTCTGGGCCAGGTGTGCAAGTGCATGCACGTGAAATCAGGTCATTCTGAAAAGTAGGAATGGTTAGCAACAGGCCTCAAGCTTCTGCGTAAAAACTCGTGGTGATGAAATTCTGAGAAGCCCTGCTGAATTTAAACAGGAGCATCATATGAGAACCAGTGTTGGTGAAATACGGTGCTGTTGCTTCGTCTCCAGGTTCCCTGTAGGTGTTACTGAAATGCTGGGGGGGAGAAGCATTTAAAGACAGTTCTGTAGATACAGTAGTTACTGGGGTTTGTACAGCAACACTGAGTCATTCTTCAGGACTGCTGAAATTTATTATAAAAAAAAAGAGAGAAGATTGGAACAGATGGGTATTTAGAAATATACAAATAAAGCTAGGATCCTGTACTTAGTACTTCAAATAACAGAATATGCTAATGGAGCTTCCACGTGGAACTTTGCACATCTCCGGAACGTATATGGAAATAATTGGATCCTTGCAAGTCATGACATGGTATTAATGGGGAGCTACTTTGAATTGGTAGGAGCTGACCCTATGTGATGCCAGTTTCACAATGAAAGCAAACTGGTATCTTCGCAGTATTCCTTAGTGAAATCTTTGTAACAAATGTTGCAAGACCCCAGGTGCTTTCTGCACCTGGGGTGCAGATCATAGAATCATACAATGGCCTAAGCTGGAAGGGACCTCAGAGATCATTTTAATCCAGCCTCGCTGTCGCCAGGGACGCCACCTCTTGAGTAGATCAGGCAACACATGGGGACCGAATGGGAATCGAACCTGCATCCTTGGCATTGTTAGCGCTACGCTCAACTGACTGAGCTAACCGGCCCCCTATAATGAATTATTGTCTGATAAGAAATTACATAGAAAGGTTTACTCGGCAAATGCAAAAATTGTAGCAAAACGTGCTTTGACTGCTTAGATGCATCTACAGTGCTATGTTAACTGAAGTCATTGGGTTATTTATGTAAGAGAAACAACCGCACTTGTATGCTTGAGCTGATTGTAAGGACAGAGGAACTGGGTAGTTATTTGTATGCTACATTTCACTGTTAAGGGAGTTCTTGCCTTATCCAAGATGGTATCTCTGCATACACTGAGTAAACAAATTTTAGAAAAAACTGAGAAATAATCTGTTAAAAAAGCAGGGAAAGAAAGAAGAAGAAGGAAGAATATGAAATGGCCTGAGGAAATTCCATCATTTTTAAAAGACAAAAAAAGGCTGATGGCTGCTCTTTCTGCTGTGCTCCTTCATTTCAAGATGAAGCTGAGATCAATAGTGATGTCCACAACCCTTGGGCTGACTGTACTCCCAGAACTTGGGTAGTATAATAGGTGGTATGTTATCACAGAGGAAATTTAGTACTATCTTATTTTTATGTAGTCTTGTGCTTTAGGGTTTGCCATGCTTGCCAACGACCTTGAAGAATTTATTTCGTGTACTTGCAAAACTATTTTGCCTTTGCTTTAGAATTGTTGATGGGGTTATTCAAAGAAACACTTTAGCTTCTTTGTTGATTTCTCCTACTTCTCTTACAAGCCAGTGCACGTTTTGGTCTTCCTTTGTCGCCAAATTTGGAATCCTATTTCTGAAACATCTTTCCATTTCCAAGCTCTGGTTAAAACAAAAAATGTAGTGGTGCTTAACAGATGGGCAAGTTTTTTTATTTCTGTATTCTGGTATTAAACTTATGCATGAGAAAATAGTCTTAAGAAAAACTTTCAGTAAACAGAGGCTAAGTAATTAGACCACTTACTGTTTGGAGACAGAAGAGGAAAGGGTGATTACTTTGTTTCTTATGTGGATGGAAGAAGTCTTGCTGCGTGCACCTGAGATAACACCATCCACACACTCCAAGAACACCCTTGTGAGTTTTGAGACAGTAAAACAGAGAAGACTAATTGGAGATTGGAAATAGTGATGATGGAGAGGAATGTTTGACCTTTCAAAGAGTGGAAAACTATTTGTGTTAGAGTTTTATCTGGAGGAGAGTTCAGTCTGGAAGCAGATCTCTTCAATGTCAGTGTTTATCCTGCCCATTGCTTTGTTTTCCAGAGTGGTTTCGGTGTGCACTGACTAGGCTCCTTTCAAAAGCAGTGAAGCCATTCCACTTCTTGCATTCACCAAATGTATGCTAATCCTTAATAGAGTCATAGATATTTGACTAGATATTGGTCTTTTTTGGCAGCTTTGAACCTCCTGTGGTAGGGTCTGTTGCAGGAAGTCTGAATAAATGTGGCCTGCAAGAGAAACTTCCTGGGCTTCATACAGTATATGTGTAAAGACCTCAGCAGCAGCTGTTTTTTGATCTGCTCCAGTTGTGCCAGATTACTAATGCAAATAGAGCCTAGTGCCATGTATTATGAGTTTTTGGCTTTTTTTAAGTAACATTAGACTGACAATAACTAATCGTCAGAGTGTCTTAACTTTGTCAAGTGTTTGGAGATGGTAATATTTTTAAATGTGACTCTGTGATCATTTATATTTTCGGCAGAACTTGGCAGACCTTTAGATGAGTGCTCTATTTGTTAAGTGAGGTCCATTCTGAATGTTCTTGCCTACGGTTTTGATCTGACTGGTTTTCAGGGGAGAGGAGAGAGCAGAAGATGTGTTTGGAATGTAAGGCTGCTGTAGGAACCCACAGCTGGTGCCGAGGTTGTGATTATAGCTTAAAAGCCAGCACAAATATTAGGAATCATATTATAAAATAACAAAGAGCCCTATCCCAGTTACTGAGGCTTCTCCTTCATTCAGTAGACATCCGTTGTGGTATGTGTCCCCTTTTCCTGTGGACAGGAGAAAATTCACTTCTTGGTGCTGAAGTTACTCCTTTGGTAATCTGTGCTAACTTTTGTATTGTGTCCACATACTGCAGTTTGCAATATGATCTTCTTAAAGTAATATAAGAAGAGCAGGATTTCCATATAATTTTCCTTTCAATTATTCAGCTTCACCCTTTAAAATTCCTCAGTAACCCACACTGTTCGTTTTTTCCTCTCCGTAGCTGCTTTTTTCTTCCCCACTTCAGACTATTTGAGATTTCTTTGTATTTCTGAAATGAAACATTGTTGTCAGCTTAAAATGACAAAAGTTAAGATGAATCTCAAAACTACACTGAGTGTATAAGACTGCTTGGCTGCGTCATCAGTGCTCTTGGAGGAAGTTAGTTTGCTTCCCAACCCAGGAAAGTGCTGGGGGGGAGCGTGAGGGGAGTTGTAGACAAGTTCAACCCTAGGAGTGATAAACTGAAGAAACATGCCAGTTCAGGCATGAGTATGTGTGGCTGGAAAGGCAGGATAAAGGACGGCCTAGTATTTAGTGAACAAAAGAAGGGATTAGAGAATGATGATCGACTTCAATGATTGCATGTATTCGCCATATTAGCTTTCTTTCATTGACATTATTTATAGCAAGTTGCTATAAAGGCAACCTTTAAATACGTTTTGAAGTTCAGTTCATAGCAGTTCTCCAGGTGGCAGAGATAAAAGGGACTTGTGACTATCAGCTCTGGTGAAATCTACTGGAATTGAGCTCGTGGTAGCATTTGTAGGCAAGGCACTACCCTGGATTAACTCGGGTGGTTTGAGTGTGGGATGATGATCCTGTAGCCTAGCCCGCTTCGCTCTCTTAAAATACATGCCACAGAAGCACTTAATCGTGGCTTTTCTTTTCCTGTAGCATTTCTGTAGGGCTCTGCGAGCTTTTACAGTTGGCCGTGTCCTCTGGCTGCAGAAGCGCCTCGTTGGGTTCAGGGTTGGCGGCTGGGGCGGAGCGAATCGTCGGGCTGTGGCAGGTGACGGCAGCCGCCCCTAGCCCGCTTCGCTCTCTTAAAATACATGCCACAGAAGCACTTAATCGTGGCTTTTCTTTTCCTGTAGCATTTCTGTAGGGCTCTGCGAGCTTTTACAGTTGGCCGTGTCCTCTGGCTGCAGAAGCGCCTCGTTGGGTTCAGGGTTGGCGGCTGGGGCGGAGCGAATCGTCGGGCTGTGGCAGGTGACGGCAGCCGCCCCGCAAGGGATCCGATGGGAATTGCGTTGATCTGGTGTTTAGCTCTGATCCTTATCAAATGGATTACTTCTAAGGTAGGCCATGTCATTATTCTGTTTTGACTAACTGGGTTTATAAGTAGCCGGAGAGAAAACAAGTCATTAAGAGCTTCATGAGTACTTGTTTTTCGTTTTTAAAACCTAATCTGTTTTGGAAACACATCATTCGTCATTTGAGACTGCGTTTCCTAAATGTTCGTACATGATTATGTAGCTCTAAACTTTTGCTGCCTTGAAGTGGGAAGAGTGTGTTTGTAGTAGTGCCAGTTAGGAGACGGGAGAAAGGGATCTGAAATGGCTTCTGAATGGCAGGGGGTTGCCTGCCTCCTGTACTAACAGATCTTCAGTTTTATAGCACTTTAAAGTCTTTGTGAAAACAAGGAAAAACAATTTTAAACATAGTAAGAATAATACAAATTAGCTTATTTTGCTTCCTGGACAGGATATCCTTTTTGTATTGTTGATTTCAGGGTTATGGTAGTGGAAATACCAGTTTTGTTTGCTTAGGTGAAATACCAGCCTGCCTCCTGTACTAACAGATCTTCAGTTTTATAGCACTTTAAAGTCTTTGTGAAAACAAGGAAAAACAATTTTAAACATAGTAAGAATAATACAAATTAGCTTATTTTGCTTCCTGGACAGGATATCCTTTTTGTATTGTTGATTTCAGGGTTATGGTAGTGGAAATACCAGTTTTGTTTGCTTAGGTGAAATACCAGTTACTTCACTTGCTTCATAGCCTTTTCATTTGAGATGCCTGTGTTTTGAAAAGCATGTGCACGTGTTAGACAGAATTAGGAATTCCTACTCTCTGATTTGAAAGAGCATAAGTGTCCCAATAACGTATATTGTGTTAGTAAATATAGATGGGATTGGTACCTGGAGACGAGACTGGGCTCTTCTCAGTGTAGCCTGCTCCCTTAACTGGAATTAATTCCAAAAGGAGGAACAAATGTAAGTTCAGGATTATGAAGGAGGTCCAGAATCATTGGAGAGAGTGAGGAAACTAAATAAAATTAAAAAAAAAATTAAAATAGTAATCAGAGTTTATGCATTTATAGATGGATTGTTTTTGTTATTATTCATACACAATTTTAACATTTTTGTACAATTAACAGGAGATTATGAACTAACAGGAATTTGAATTTGTTGTGAAAACAAGCTTTGCCAGGTACTCTTCAGTCATTGCCAGTAACACAGTTCTAAATTTACTAAAAGCAAAACCGGTCAGGCTTAGTTGTTAGCACTTGTGATAACATTTGTTGCATCAAGAAAAAGACCAGGATACCCTAATGGATATTCACTTGTAAGTAAAGGCAGGTTCTAAATACCAAAGTTTTATGGGCAGTGTGTTAGCCTAGTACATCATCTGCATTCTACTGGTGTACTGTCAAATTGCTGATTTTCTGAAACTTGACATAAGAAGCCTTATTAAGGATTATGCTTTTAATGCAGTTTGGTCAAAGATTCTGGTAAGGTGGGGAAATACAGGAATTCCAGGTAGCTGCCATAATACAGTTAACCATAAATAGCAGAAGTTTTTGGTGTTTGTGTTTCTTAATGTGCTAGTGGTAGTTTCTTTTAAAGATTGGTTTTTTTTTTTTGGTATGGGTCTACATCCAATTATCCTATTTTGCTCTTGCTTTGGAGTTGTCCTGCCATTCTGATTTGGTTTCTAAAGGTAATAGCCCTGTGTGTTTCTATCCTGACTTTAAGTCGCTCACTTATGCTTTACTTTTTCACTGTGTTTTCTTTCCTGAGCAATTTTAAGACTTTTGTTTTGTATATTTTTGTTAATCTTGAAGTTTCTTGGTTGATAAAACTTTGAATAAGTCTTAAGATGCCGTATGATATCCATCTAAGGCATTACATGTATGCATCACTGAAGTCCATAACTGTTATTCAGGCAATAGCTGGATTTATAGAGGATTGTCATGTATCTTGGGAGATGATCATGTGAAATAGTGTTATATGGAGCAAAACATTAAAATGGCCCCATTCAGAGATCTGAAGGGGATGCATGTGTCTTAGTGCAAATTATCTATATTTTCCTATCACTGGTTTGATAAACTTTTAGGATAGTGCTTTGCATTCCAGTGAAATACTTAGAAAATAGTAGTAGGACCATTTTACAGTGCCTTGTGTGAGTTCAGTGACAATATAAGTGCTTTAAAAGAACAATTTCCAGTGCTTTGGTGGGTAAAAACTTGGTGATGCCTTATAGAAAACTGTGAATCTTACATGGAACTTTAATTACTTGAAATAATTCTTAATAATTATGATAAATGACAGTGTTGCTTTTGAAATCCTGTAATAGTTGGAGAAATAGTCTAATTAGTTTGTCATTCTAGGGACTGGTAGTTGATAAACTGTCTTGGAATCTTAAATAGTTTCCAGGCGTGTATATTTGCGGCAGCATAACCAGTAAACTGCGGTTGCCATGATACAAGGATTTCTCCAAACTTTTTCTCTATTTCTCTTTCTGAGAACAATCCTCGGTTCTTGGGCAAATAAACTGGGTAGAAAAGCTCAGTAGGTAAAAATATCTGATTGGCCACGTTGCTGGCCTCTGGCTTTTCTGTCCCAGCTTCTGCTTAACAACTGAGTTGCAAAATGAGGGTTGTGTGCTCTGTCAAAAAGCATAATGGTTCTTTCTGATGGAGGGTACGGCATTTTGAAGGCCAGCAGCTTTACCCGTTTCTTTCCGCTGTCACAGAATGAGACCAGCAGGTTTTTTTTGCTTGACAGCCCAAAAGGCACCTTCTTCTTTTCATTTCTTGCCAAAATGAAGCGCTTAACAGAAGTGCTGGTCCTCTGCTCTGAACTGGATTGGGAAGTCCTTGTGATAAAACTGATATACCAGTGGAAACGTTTCTGTTTGGCACAAACAGCGGCAGGTGCTCCGTTTCCAAGTACGTGCATACGCTGTACTCCCTAGCATCACTGAAGTGGTTTCCCTTTGAAGATACAGCTCTGTGCTATTTTGGCATGTCGTTCCCATTGGCATGGCCTTTAATAACTTCCTATACTCTTGTGAAAAGCTCTTCAGAAACATCTGGCTTGAGGCTATCTTTTGGTATATATTCCTTTTGCTTATTTTTGTGGAGTCCTTGTATCATCGCTTTTAAAGGATTAATAGATCTTCCACTTCAGTTTGAACTTCTTCAATTGTTTTCCATAAAGACGTGACAAAAGAAAGCTTTTCTTGTTGTATAGCTCTTTGGAAGAATAAATGACACTCTAATATGAAACGAAATTTAAAGTGAGGTTTTGCGAAGTGAGAGTCCAGTTTGAACAAACCTTCCCAATCATCTTTCTGACATCTGGCTTTACTGCTGAAGCCACAGAGCCCACCCAACTCAGCCAGCCATGCTCGTGTCTGGGAAGGAGTTGTTTGGGAAGTTTGTTGAATCACTTGGAGTTCAGCAGATATTCCCAGTGGACTAAGTTGTCCTTCTGCTTCTGAGGGGAACCTGCCTAAACATGTTAGGATTGTCCTCAGTTTGAGCACTAGTAATTCTGCCTGCCTGTTGGAATGATGCTTATTTGTTTGAGATTTGTACAGAGGGTCAAGGAGTTCAGTATGCTTAGTAACAGGTTCAAAGCTTCAGGCAGGCCAAAGAGGTGGCATAGATTTAAAAACCATATTTTATGCCAAATGAGTTAAAAATATTAACTGTAACATGATATTTTGAAGCGCAAGAAGTCAAGTTCTGTTTGTGAAGTTTTTAGCCCAGGTTTCTGTAGGCTGATACAGCGTATGCTACAGTCAACTGTGTGAGTAAGGTAAATTTGTAGTGTAAATATAGTCTCAGTGTCTCGTTGTAGGGTACAGAGTGAGAACGTTTGATTAACAATGAGGGAGGAGACATATTTGGTGGTCAACAAGAGTTGAATCCTGGTGATTAAATTGTTTGAACTGCTGAGTGCTTTACAGAAACTAGAGTTCTTCAAGACACATTTGCCTTTCTGTTTACAAATTTGCTGCACGTGAGACTTCACATATGAGTAGAAGCTGATGCATTAATTCTGTTCTTTTGGTTTGCTGGATGTAAAAAAAAAAAAGGCAACTGGGAAGAATATCTTAAAGAACCACAGGCATGGTAGATGAAATTGCTTCTCTTTTTGTTGTTGTTTTTTTTCCTTTCATTTTTCTGTAGTAGTGTAGGAGATAGTATAACAAATACGCTGACAGTGTTATTTGAAATGACAGACCTCAACCTGCAGTACATAGTCTGTTACCTATTCAGAGCGTAAGCTGACACAAAGTAATCCATGGCTGGATGAGCATAATATTATTTAATTTACCTGCCTATCACCAGGTTGCTAAAAAACCTCTCTACCATTAGCTACCCTCTCTGTCAACCACAGTGCTCCTAACTATCTTTACCTCACTTCTGTGCCTGATCTGAAGGTATGAGGTCTGACCACTCATCAGCCACCCTGTATCTGTACCTTGGTGGAACTTGCTAATAAGTATTTTCCTCTTAACTGTTTTATTTAACAAATTCCTATGAATGAAGTTATCTTCAGGATGTCAACCTTTTTAGCAAAATTAGCTGAAATTGTCCTGCTGCTTTTGAAGTGTAGCTTGTAAGATTTACACAATAAATTGTCTCTTTTTCAAACCAAACTTTGAAAGGTAATTTTAAGAGGATTTCATTGTTCAAAGATTATTACGAGATCCATCAGATTCCTTGCAGAATGAAATCACTTGTTTGTATAAGCAGTTGTTTTATATTTTTAAAAATGAGCTTTATGCTTGATACCATACATGGATCTGCTGCTTTAGCAAATAGTATTTTAGAGAGCAGGTAGTATTTTGGAATCAGCATAGCAACAGGAATGATTTTTCAGTAATTTTTTATGTGTTGTTTTCCTTCTTGTAGACTAATGCTCCAGTTGAGCATGGTTTTTCTAGTTGCGTGTGTGCTTAACTTTCTCCAGTATTGGATTACAGAACTGTACTAGACATGTCCAGAAATCTGTGATAGACAGGTGCAAATTGCAAGTTAGCACTAAATTACATCACTGATTGTGCCTAGTCAGTGATATGAAATGTTCTAGGCTACTGAAAATATATTCAGCTGAGATTTGCTGAAATCTGAAGGTAGGTTATGTGAAGAAATTTGAAAATTTTAGTGGGAAATCAACATTGTTTTCTCACTGATGAGTTGTATTGCTTCCTTCCCATCAGGACAGGCACACTGCTGTGAGGAATGCTGTACAAACGTATTTCAAGGGAAGCATTATTTGCATGGTTTGTCATCTTTCAAGGGAAAAAAACCACCCCAACAACCAACCAAACAACAAAAGCGAGGACATCCTAAAAGTGCTGTACAGGGAGTTCTTCTTTGGCTTTACAAAAGCTGCTGTAATTGGACCCCATTTGGAACTAGGTCTCTGGTAATTTCTGTAATTAAAAATTAAGCTTACCTTTGGAAAAACTTCTCAGACTTCAGGTGTAAGGTTTTATTTTTTTTAACATGAAAAATATTAAAACAATTAAATGTTAACTTCTGGGTTTGGAATCTTAAGGACATCAGTTGTACAAATTGCACTGATAGAAGTTATTAATCTCTAGTCTTTCTTTGTGTGCATTCAGTTTGTTCTGTAGATAAATGCATATAAGCAGTTTTGCTTTCCCCCTCTTCAGAGTAATTTATCTCTTCCTTTTAGAATTATTTTCAGTAGTCAGCATCTGTTTTTCTGTTGTGTTTCCTAACATGGTTTGCTTTATCATCTTTTGAACTTGCTGTTGTGTGTCCCTGGTGTAGTGCTGTTCCTGCTCCAGAGAGGGGGGGGGAAAAAAAAGTGTGACTGTGTTCACCTCCAGGTTGACTTTTATCTGAAGTTCTCAAAGGGGTCTGATAACCCTTTGTGGCACAGAGGACTTTACTGTCCTCAGAGTAAGTAAGAAGTGTGGTGGTCAAGGAAAAGGCCATAGGAGTTCTTACTGCACATGCACAACAACAACAGCAACACAAAGACAAGCCTGTTTCTTTAAAGAACAAATGTTGTGATCTGGCAAAACCGAGATCTGATTTGCGAAGGCGCTCCTCTGATCCTAGGGTTAAGAAATTACGTTAATGAAGGCCCTAGGAAGTAGCAGAAGATGGTGAAAGTACAGGACAGGCAAGGTGTGAGGCTGGGTGCTGGTTCGTGCCAAGACCGCGTGAAGACTGCGTGATGCTGGTGTTGTGTTACCATGAGAACATCCCTCCAGATTTTAGCTCTTGGAGGACCAGTTCACGACACCTGTAGGAGACCACATTAGGTGAATATGTATAGAACATACCTATTTTGTGTAGGTAAGAAATACAGCCTGTGTGGGAGTATTTGTTGTGCATGGATAGCTTGATGGCTCTTTTAGACTTTTAAGGTGACATCTGAAATACCACTTGCTTGTTTTCTTTACCTTTACATATTACATCCTGCTTCAGCGGTGCCTTGATTTGCTTACAGGAAGTACTGGGTGGAATGAAAGTAGCACGTGGCAGCCAAGTCCCGCACTTGCAGAATATAGGTTGAATTCCTAGGGACTGCAGTACTGGTGTAATTTGATTTTTTTTTTTTTTTTTTTACTTTTTAAAGCTACTTTTAGCTTTGAAAGATGGAAATACTCCATAGCTAAAAGTAAATACTTGCAGTTCTTGATTTATTTATTGAAGCATTACACTCTAGAAGGCTGAAAGGAGCACACTTTTTGGGTGTTTGCTTAATCTTGTTCCATGTCTTTTTTCTGTTGTGAGGAATTACTGAGGAGTGTCTCAAAGGAAATTTAGGGGGGATACTTTTTTCTACACTCTGGTCCTTTTTTTCATTATCTCTTCACTACCAATTCCTGTCCTTCCTTTGCTCCTGCTAAACCAAAATCAGTGTGTGTGTGTGTAATATTTTGAAAGATGCATGTTATAATTTCCAAAATTAATTTTGAGATTTAAACTGGAAATGGACAACTGATACTTTATTTTCATTTTGATTTAAAAATGGTTCTGTTCTCACTTGTATAAAATGTACCCTTTTTTTTTATCTTGCAGAGACGTGGAGCAATTTCCTATGACAGCTCCGATCAGACTGCGTTGTACATTCGTATGCTAGGTAAGCATACCAGTTTCTATATTGCAAAATTCTAATGTTTATGATTGATTTTAAAGGATTATTTTTTATATTTGAGTACTGAATTCTTATAATGTCCTTTCTTCTGGATAGTGTTCTGGTTAGATTATATGGAAGATTTTGGGTTCTTTTGTGTTGACTTGAGTTTTTTGGTTGTTGCCTTTTTTCTTTTTTTTTTTTTTCTCTCAGTTAAGCATTGTGTCAAATTATTCCTCTATTCAAGTAAAATGTTCTTATGGTTAATGTAATGTGCTTGACAGAAGTTTAAGTTTTCCAAGTAAGTCATGATGGATCTTTATTTCTGGGATGGAATTTATCACCTCTGCACGGTATTCTTCTGGTTAAAATGGTAGCTTAGAGAATGCTTGTGTGAGAGTTACCACACACTTTTGAAAACGTCAGTAGCGAGGCTATGAAATGCTCAAGGTGTTCTTAAAATAATGCTAGGATTTTACGCAATACTTCTTTTAGTAATCCTACAAGATGACTTGAAAAGGGAGAGGACACGTGACAGGGCCAGTAGTTCACTTAACTTCCTGAAGAATGTTTCCAGAGTAGCAACTAGCTAAAGGGTGAAGCAGAATTAAAATGAAAGGATGGTTTTGGGAGGAGCAAGCATCCACGAGGGAGACCCTCTGTGACATCAAGTGCAGGGGAAGGAGTGGAGGTCAGTGGTGGAGAGCAGAGAGATGCAAAGCTCTCGCAGAGCTGGCTGCTGGGCTCGGGGCTTCCCGAGCCTCTTCTGGAGGCTGCTGGTGGCGCAGATGGCGCGGGCACCGTGTGCAGCCTCTACGGCTGTTTCACTGCAAAATTATGCACCTTAATTTGATCTATGATTTTGTATTGAAATGGACTAGGAATGCTTGCGTGATGTCTCACATGGCTCAGTGAACGTCAACAGCTAGCGATTATAAACTTGTAACTGGCTCCACTAAATCATCCAGAACGTGTCTTTTATGCCCCGAGTCTTCAATTTAGGTGTCTATTGTAGGTGTTAAAGCCCCCAGAAATTCATACCTGTGTTGTCTATGAATTTAAGCTATATGCATGGGCATATACATCTATATGGATTTAGAGTCATAACCTCTATGTGTAGGCATACACATGCATATATATATATATAAATCCAGTTTTGACTTAACATCTTTGCATTTTTATTTTTAAATTATTTTGATTTTTTTACATTTATGAAGTTAATAATATAGCAATGACTGTCTACTGAAGGATTTTGTTATAAGTAATTACTTTGGAGGTATGTTAAGGGGAGGAGGACAGAAGATACTGGCTTCTAAATGTTTATTGAAAAAGCTGCTGGTTTTTGTGATTGGAAATAGGTTTAATTTTCAAAAGTTAAAGTAACTTTAATCATCCTTTTTGTGGATGTGAACACTAGAATTCTTGAAAATATGATTTTTCTGCTCTGGTCATAAGAATTAGAAAGTAAATTCAGGCTGGAGGTAGTTTTGTTTCTTTGATTTGGTGATAGTTTTTTTTCGTTTTAAACTAAATTTGTTTTGTGCTGTAATTAGAAACTACTATTCTCTATCTGCTTCAGAGTCCTAAAAGCTGAGTTCTTTTAATTCCACAACAGGAGAAATATGTGTTGTATTTTAAAAATAAGCTGATATGCTTATGTTAAAGGTACTGTAAGTATATGTCTGATTTTATCTTTTAAAAATTAATCTGCTAATGGTAGAAACGCAGTTTGTAAGAAAATAATTCTTAGTTTCTGAGGAAAATAACCTGATTTATTTTGCTGCTTTGGAAGTTTTAATTGTACCATGAAGTAGTTAGGCCCATCGTTTTTGCAGAGGTGCTTGTGCTAATGCTCGGGTAGATCTGAAGGAAAGCAAAGCATGACTTCCCGTGGTTCTTGGTATGGACACCTGAGCTGTGGGAAAAACCCCATTTGGTTTGAAATGTTTCTGTCACTGTTTTCATAGGCAGAATTGGAATATAGTCAGAATGTGATGTGAAGTAAATTAAATTTCTGCTTGTTCTCTAGTTGGAATTAATTATTAGACTATGTGATTGGTGCTTGTTATGAAGAACGTAGCTCTTGCCGGCACTCGTTGCTGTTCAATGCTGAAGGCAGTAAGTCTGCTACAGGATTGACCTCTTCTAACATTGGGGAGGGGAGGAGGGTGCCAACAAGCAAACTAGAAATTGCTCGTTGAGTGTTTGAATCAGTATGTTAAATTTGTAATCCTGTCTCACTTGTTGGTGATCGCTTTGTTTTCCCGAATGTTATGTACGCTATACTGTACAAGTTAGCAACTACTTACGGATTTATTGTTGTTGTATTCATAAATGGACTGTAAAAAAGACCAGCCTGAAAGCTGAACAGTTGGATGTATCGGCACGTAAAAACATTCATATCAGAATGAATACATTCAATTTGATTTTTTTTTTGCAAGAAATGACAAGTGTTTAGTTTCCCATACAATGTTGTGAAGGATTTGTTGGTTTTGTTTGTTTGTTTGTTTGGTTTTTTTCTTTCTTTAATATTACTAAACTTTAGTGGAGTAAGCTGTAAGGAATCCTCAGCTGTAATTTAACAGGAAGTTAGGCACAGTCACGAGTTTTGCCTTTTACTTGGCTGTTACTCGAGACAGACTATATCTGCTTATAAAATGTACCTTGATAACGTGGTTATTTTAGCAGATCACAAATACAAAGCTAAAGTTATCTAGGACACCTCCCTCTGCCTCTGTGTAGTTGTGCTGGCCATAGAGTTACTTCCTCTGATGTTTTCAGGCTGTTCCAATGGGAATCCAATGGAATTTCATTTGCACCAAGTAAATAGAAAGCCCGGTTGGTATGGCAGTGTTTTCGGGTCCAATTTAAAAGACCAAATTTTAGGGGCACATAAAATAAACTAACTCTTAACTGTCTTCATTGGTGTCAATTTAAAGAAACACTGTTGACTCTAATGACTCATCTGTCATACCCCCTTCCCAAAATACACACTAAGCCACTCCCAAGTGGCTTATTTACTATTTAAAAATATAGATACAGATGCAGCATTGTAGAATTTTTCTTTTAAGACCTTGGAAGGGCTAATATATCTACATCACCATCTACTTCTCTCAGCAGCTATGAGGACTTCTCAAAATTTCTTGTAAGTGCTTCTGTGTAATCTTGATACTTTCTTGATTTATTTTTTTTTCTTCTTTGCTTGTCTGGTTTCTTTTCCTTGCTGTTTCATATTGCCAGAAAGCTTTTCTACTGTGTGTGGGATAGAAAGAGTGGGGCACTGATGGCTTATATCGGTGAGCATGCACCTCTCAACTAAAACTTAAAAGGAGCATTTCACCCTCCTTTAGAGGTCTTGGATCACTTGCAGTAGGAAGCAGTGGAGCCAAGCTGCTGTGTAACGCAGGTGCACGCTCTTCTCCTGTAGCGGTTGTTCTGTTGTATTCCTTCTGCTTTAATTCTGGCATATCCAGCTGACCTGTCATCTGTTTCTCCCAAGAACTTTTATCTGTGAAGCTAGCAATTCTTTCTGGAAATCCTTCTCCTCACAACTTCATGGCTTTGACTTGGGTGGTTTACCTTGAGGTGGCGGTCCGTAACTTCTGCTCCCACCTGTCCTCCGTGATCTCTGAGGTTTCTGCCCCTGCTCCAGAAGCTCTCAGCTCCCCGAGCAGCTGCTGCATTGTTACTGTGCCCCTCTGGAGTGTTAGGGTAGCACGGAATATGTGCTGTGTAACCCTAACGTGCTGGAATGTCAGCTCTGGCATTTCAGCTGCCTCGTAAGTATCAGAGCTGTCCTTGCTGTGTGAGCAGGAATCTGTGAGAGGGGTAGGAACTAAACGATCTGTCTCCAGGTAAGTTGAATTACAGCCATTATACCAGTTCGGTTTTCTAGCTGCAAACCTCTGTCTTACATTCCGTCTTCCACTGTTTATTCAGTCTTTAATGGAATTTCTGCGTTTGTCTTTAAAAATGCAAACAATAATGGTCACAGAGAACTATTCTGGAAAAAAAACCCCCAAAAATAGTTAACTCAGCCAATAGATATTTTTGTGATGTTTGTGCACAAAATTAGATTTTGAAAGGAAGCCTTCATGTTTGTATCTTTCTCTTGATTGTTTGGAGCCACAGAAACTCTCAAAGAGGGAAAAAACCCTGTTCTTAGAAGTCCACTGTCATTAAGATGTTTGACTTGAATGTATTCCCCTAAGGAGTCTTTTCAGAGTGGCTAAAGAAGTGTCAATTAAGATAAAAACTGTTGCTATCACTTCTGCTCCCCTCCCCAAAGAAATCTACCTATAAGCAGACAGGGAGATCTGGTGGTTTCAAAAGATTTTCTAACCCCTTTGGTGTTTTATTTAAAAAGACCTAAATAAATGAAAACTATTCATAAGTGGTTTTGGTTTAGCTGATGAATTTCAGTTATCTTTCAGCTACTGTAATAATGATTGGGTCCGAGATTGGACTCCTGTTGCTGTTTGAAAGAATTCTGTAACCGTGCTTACAATGAATTCTGTATCATTTCAGAGTGATAGGGTAACAAAGAACTCGTGCAGGACTTCCCAAGCACATCAGTGTGACTGTTGTGTTATACCCGCTTCTCACTGGGCTTGCAGTCGGGATCTATTGATCTTTGCAGGTCAGATAACTAACAGTGAATGCATAACGATGGTCCAGTATTTCTGGATGTTTTGGAACAAGATACACATATGCAGTAGAGATAAGTTACACTAATCTATGAAATAACACGCAGCCAGTTTTTAGGCTTCTGTATACGTAGAAACTTTAGAGGGATGTATGGTATCTTCAAATTCCACTTGTACCAGCTTTTTCCAAGCACATTCATTGTCTGAAGTCTTGAAAAATGCAATACTTCTGTACAAAGACAGTAGAGGCAGCTCTTCTGCCTTCTTTTTGGCCCAATAAGAATTTCTACTTTGTTTACTGTGATAAACTCCAGTCCTGTAGAAGTTACATCTTTTTCCAGAATCTATCCAAATATATTCTAAAATAATTCATCCATTGTTGAGAACTAAATTAACTAAATTGCCTTAAGAACTAAGTATAGTACACAAGTTGTATCATCTTTTCTGTAAAAAATCAGCTCAATTTAAAAAAAAGCTCTTGTATTTTTCTTTTAATTCAGCTGGTGAACTCATTCACGCAGCTGTAGCTATGACTGATTTCCCAGATAAATGAGTGAAAGGCAATGAAAGTTTATTTTCGTCTTTGTAAACTGGTATTTTCATACACAGCTACTAATGCATTTGCCTTCTCTTTTCCAACATTTCCTCCCTTTTTCCTTTTTATTAATTTATTTTGTAAATAAAATTCACCAGTTGCTTGTGCCTAACAGAAGAGTTCTACAATTTGCTGCCTCTGTATTGCCTGGAGAAGACAACCCTCTTGCTCTCTGCTCAGATGAATGGTTGAAACCTTTATAAGTAATATATTCTCAGTGGTCTAAAAAACCAGATCTACAGTTAGTGATTGCAGCTCTGTTAAGGTTTTCAATTTCAAAAAACCAAAAATGAGTAATAACTGAAAGCCACGTGCATGTGGTTTTTACTGATACATAAACTTCAGGCTCGTCATTTGGGGAGCCCTGGGCCTGCTTATCTTTTTGTGATTCTTCCAGATAACATTCGTATGAAGTGTGTCACTATAGATATGTCAGCGTTTATAGATAGGTATCTCTAGAAAGATACCTGTTAAGTATTAAAGGTATATTACTGACCTTTTGGTCAGTATCTTTAGCTATTGTCTGGTGAGTTGCCTGCTTCAGCATTAGGAATTAGCAGGTTGAAGAAGAAAAGAAAAAACACTCTCAAGATGTTACCTGTTGCTGGAAATTGAATTGCAGTGTTTTTAGTTTGTTCTTATAAAATCAGTCTTAGTTCCTTGTGTTAAGTACTTAGTTTTGGTTTATATGAAAACCATTGTGTTTGAGGAGAGAATACTACACTCGAAGGATTGTCACAGTTAAACAACAGAATTTCACCTTTGTTAGGATTTGAGGAAGGAAACGCTATTGCCTTTGATCCTCAAAGGTTCACTCAAATTTTTAATTGCTAAAGAATTTTAAGTGAAAGCTTTTAATCCAGGTGAACTGCTTGTGTTAATGCATACAAATACCTAACAAAAGAATACTGATCAGCTTTCAGTTGGTAAAGTGCATAAGCGGCAATCAACTAGCATGCTAAAAGATACAGGTTGAAGCTAATTGCAGTGCAAAATAGTTTGATAAAATTTTAATACTGAGTTTTGGTATTTTAATAGGCTCTTGTGTAATATTCAAACAGCTGAGCACAAGTAAGTAAATGCTAGTGGGAAAATATTCTCTTATGTAATATAAAACCGTATTGTAACTAGCTTATTGCTAAAAGCTACCATTTCTAGAAGCTGAATCTTTTTTGTATTATACAGAATGTTTATCGTTTTATGTGTGTTACTGAGGAACAAATCGACTTTTAATGTTCTTGTTTCCTGTCATATTAAGGTGCATTTTTATCATACTGGTGTAGCAAGCTGTTCCTAATTTCATCTGAATGCTTACCACATGCTTCTGGCAACGTATGCTTAGGCAGGAGAGGTTTTGACAAGAAAGCATGCTATTGCATGTTTAACAAGTCTTCAAACTTTGTTTTGAGTTTCACCTTTAAGAAAAAAGCATTGAAGTAGGCCTATTGTTTGAGTAACCCTCCTCCATTAAGTACATGAATCTTTACCCCTCCAGGCTATGTTAATTTGCATTTTATCTCTGCCACTCTTCCACACTTTTATTTCACTCTTGACCCTGTTTCTAGGAGATGTGCGAGTAAGAAGTCGGGCAGGATTTGAAACAGAGAGAAGAGGTTCTCATCCATACATTGATTTCCGTATTTTTCACTGTAAGTATTTAAAAGCAGATAAATGGCAAATAAACGAAGGCTTCCATTAATTTTAACTACTGAGCCTCTAAAAGTAAAGTTAGCACCTTATATAGTGAGACCATTTTTTATATTTCTTAGGAATAGCTTTCATTCTACTTCATTACCAAAACCAGAAAAGAATTCCACTGCTAAATTTTTGGTTTAGAAAATATAGTTTAAACTCACTGAATGTAGACCTGAATCCCTATGAAAATGAAAGCTATCTTACATACCGCTGCTAATGTACGGGCCGAGTTCTCAGCTGGCAGACACGATCAGCTGAGAAGAATACTTTCCTGCTTTTATAAAGCAGCAGAAGGGCTTGGTCCAGGATGGTGTTTGAAGAAAATTGCAGTAGGTGTCAGTATTCTTGACCTCATCCTAATCAATTAATGATTTAGTCCAGCATTTAGCTAGGGCTTAACTTTTTTGGATGTAGGCAAGTCTTAAGGAACAATTAAAGTGTTACCAGAAAACAGCAGGCTATTTTTTTTTGATTATGTATTTTAGGAAACATTTTTTCTCGGAAGGGGTATAAGAAGAATATTTTTTGATAATTTCACTTTTCTTTACATCTATATTATTATAAATATGTAAGTAGCTGTCATAACCACCTTCAGTAACCACCAAACCAGTATGCAGCTAAAGGCAGGGATTTAAGTCTTAATTAAATCATGCCAATAATATTAATATATTAGGTGTCATAAAGTATCTGTACCAACATTGTATCATCATAATTCCAGATATTCTGAATGCAATGGAGAGATTTAGAAAAACTTACTTCATGGTAACAAGTGTGGTTGTTGTAATTACCTTTTTTTAATAAAAATGAGTGGCAGAAACTGGTCTTGTTACTATTCTGATCTTAACTTTAAGTTACTCTTCTTCAAAGTAGATAGATCACTACTTAAATTTAAAACTCTTGAATTCCTTGTTTAATTCAAAAGTTAATATCCTAAAATAGGTGAGAAAACAAAGTTTGAAGAGTATGCTATATTGTGGTTTTTTTTTCAGTAAAGAGGGTAAGAATTCTGTCTCAGGTCCTGATAATTCTATTAATAAAAAAATATCTGTAGAAATAGCACATGATTTATGAATTACATAACTGTGTCTTTCTGTGTGGATATATATGTGTCATTTCATGCTGATACGGGAAAATACTAACAGAAGTATTAAAAGAACTACCTGTTAAAAGGCAGCCACGTGTGACGCCACTGCTATTGTCAAGTTAACTGTATTTTTTATGCTCCTCATTGCGCTGTTTCTTTCCATCCTGAATGATTGTGCATCGGGCAGACCATGACTAATCAGGAAAAGGATTTTCACACCCTTTCTTCTTGCCCCTACTTGTTCAGGCACAGGCACCAACTTTTAGCAGCATCAACTGTGGTGTCTGATGACAGCGAAGAATGTTGCTAGGAGGCCCAAAAAATTCTTTGGCTGTAGTTTCCCTCTCGAGTCAGCTGCTGGGGTGATTTTCAGAGTTGCCACGTTCTAGTCAGATTTTTTGCACTTCAGGGTTGCAACCTGTTGTAGCCTCGAGCTTTGACTTCAGGCTCCTGCTGCATTTGTGGAGTTTCTTTCAAAGTCAATTCAAAGGAATTCAGCCCCACCTCTCACCATTATCTCTAGATTTATCTATCATTTTACAGAAAATGTTTGAGGGGGTTTTAGTATCTACCCTCAGACTGTGGGTAGAGAAAAGTTGTGGGAATTGGATTTACCCTCCCTTTTAGGATATTTTCCCCAGCCCCCTGTGGTAACTTCAGAAGGATTTTGCCACGTAGAGCTGTGTGGCTGAAAAATATTCACCCACATGAGCCGTAGACAGCATGTGAGAGGACCTGGCCGGCACTTCTTTGCTTGGGGCAAAAACTGGACTGAAAAGGGTCTCTGAAGCAGATGAAACCATCTCAATGTTGGCTTTTTTTAGTTCCCCCCCAGCTGCATACTGAACACCAGTAATGCATAGAAATGCTTCCTTTGTGGTATTTGTGAAGTTTCACTGTACCTTTCTTCTACTGTCCACTAACTTTAATCTGTGATTCTAAATATTTTGCAATAATCATTGCTTACCTGTTTGGCAGGTGACGCGCACTGGCTGTCATTCACCGTGTGGAAGCATTATTGCCATTTTGTATTTTGCTTAGCTAACTTCTGTTTTTCAGCATTATTTCCTTTTTCTGTCAAGAATGTTTTGTGAAGAAGTTGAACGTCTTTCAGGAAGTCCAACTAATAATCTGCTGACCAGTTCTCTGTTTTCCAGTATTTTATTAATATGCACTTAACCCAATATTTTACTGGTAGGTTTCAAGAGTACTGAATTTTAAATGCATTACTCTGTTCTCAGGAAGCTACTGTGTTTTTGTTGGCTTATTTGGTTGTATGTGTTTTGTTGTTTGGGGTTTTGTTTTAATCACTTTTGTTTTGTAATATTATTTGTACTTGCAACTTCAAGTAGTGTTGCCAAAGTAAGGTTTGTTAGCATTTAGTTCCTGAAGACTGCTTCTGTGTCTTCTGAAGGATTATGAGCATCTTCATCGCAGAGTTCTGTAACTGGCACATGAATATTCAGGTTTCTAAATTGACTAGAAGTATTCTCAACAGTAACTTCTTTCTAGGAAATCTGATATTAAAATGATTGCTGGAAAAATGTCTTTATTGTTCTTGCTAGAGATGGTGTTGCTTGAGATACAGGAGTCATGTCTGATGATTATTAAATGCAGGATTTGATTGGTGATTGAACTATGTTGCTTGGCAGTTTTCACTCTATTATGTTATTCCAGAAATCACATTTTTAAAGCTAAACTCAATAAACACGTTTTTGTTTCAACAAGAATTGCTTCCCAATGAGTGAGGGAAGTCAGAATTGTATTCTTCATGTTGGTAATCGGTTAACATCAAGAAAATACTTAGTAGGTTTTTTTTTTTTCTGTTACTGTAGTCAGTTGTGTGGGGCTGTGGGCATAAACTCAGGTTAGCAGCTGAAAGCTGCCTTTTCTGGTAAGAGAGCAGCCACATAACTTTCTTCCTCGGAAGTAAATTTTCATCTTAAATATAATGGTCTGTTTTTGTTCAGTGTTTGTAACATATTTCATAAGTACACAGTAAATTGCATACACTTGAGTATTTTATTGGGTTGAATACAGAGCACCAGATCTGCTTTTCACTCCTCAGGTGCCAGGGGGACGGAGTTTTGCAGTCACTGCCTGACAACCTAGCATGTGCTGTTTGTGTTTCAGGGAAGTGATTGAAAAAATGATTCCAGTGGTTATAACCACTCTTGCTCTCTGCTTGTTTAGAAGTTGTCTACAGTTAAACGTGGTTATTTCAAATTTGTTGTTTACATTACTCAAAACATCATAGATCGTGCCTTGGTCTGCAGCATTGACAGAATGCGTTGATAAAAGCTAATATGAAACAAAAGCTTTGGTAGAAGAATTGGTAAATGATGGTATGAAAATATTATCTTTTTCTCAAATAGCAAACCAGCAATAAAATTTTACATATTGTGTTCTTGTTTTGGAGAGGTTTTCAATATCTATTGTTGTTTATATACATGTGTCTGTATGTATACATGCACATACACTTAAACTTTGATTATATTTGTGAGGATTTTCTAGCATGAACAAACAAAACAATATATAATGTGTCCCAATCACTCACTGTTTTGCCTGTGCTTAGCAAAGTGCACAGTGTGTTATAATGAGGAAGTGAATAAAGTGAAGTCAAAGTGAATAATGAAGATATCAGCAAAAATATTGAATAATGAAGACACACGTAATGCTTTCAGACTTCCTTTTTAGGAAAGAGTTGTTGGATATAGTCTGAAAGAACTGAGTAAAACCTAAGTACTTAGGTTTTGTAGAGAGGAAATATTTTTCTGCTTGCTTTTCCCTTTGTATCTGCACGAGAATAGATGAGGTCTTGTCAAAGGGATTTTAGAATTCTCTCATGCTGAGGAAGCTTCTGTAGGGAGATGGTGATGTTGCCAACACGTGTGGTTCTGTTTTGTATTTTATACAATATTTTACTGAATATGTCACATTTATGAGCTAAAATATCATAAGAAGAAGGGGGTCTTTTTGAGTTAATCAATATGTTTCTGTAAACATTTAGGAATGACTCAATTCTGAATCAGACTGATGCTAGCATACAGTACAGTGCTTCACATAGGAGAGAAAACGATGCGATGGGAACTTACGACTTCATTGAGACTTAGATGGTTCTTCTCCTTAGTTGTGTACGGAGCCTTTTTCATGGAGGAAGAAAGGAAGAGTTTAGGTGACTTCCATAGGCGATGGATAAATCTAACTCTCTGTCTGAAGAGTGCAAACACATGCAGAAGTTCCAGAGTTTATCACTGGTATACAACTTTGAGATTGTTTCCTTGGAAATTGCAGTTCACGGAATATTTTGTATGCTACCCAGAGATGTGGCAAAGATGTTAGAATCTACTGTTTGCAATGTTTTAAGCTTTCCAGTTTTGCACTTACAAGTCATTGGAAAAAATTTACCTTGGACAGTGAATTTGGATTTCATTGGGTAGAAGGACAGATGTCAAAGAGCACTCTGGAGAATGCAGTCACACAAGGAGGAGTCACAGAAAATGTCCTAAATAGAGCTTTGTCCAAAAGAAAATGGTGAAGGTGAGCTTGAAGTGAGCTTCATTGAGGAAGATTTCAAGGTAAAAGCTTCCAGTTGAGAATACAGAACAGATACATTTTTTTGTTTCCTTTTCACTATTCTAGATTGTAATTTTACCTAAAATTTCTTCTGTTCAAGTTTCTGTAAAACAGCATGTGTGCTCTGGAGGCTTGCACTGGTACAGCTCACTCAGCGTTTTATTGCTGGGGTAGGTCTGACCTTAGAAGGAGATACAGTCACGTTCTAGGTTTTTTGCTTTTCTTTTTAACCTCTCCAATGTGTTCCTCTCCAAGTAGCTTATGTTGAAAGGATTTTTTTTTTGTGCTGGAGTA